CATGATGCATGCATGATGCACGCGCGGATCTACGCTGCTCGTCATGGCATGGCTTCCGCGCGCCGATCGACTCGCGTCGCGTTCGTCGTCCGCGCTTCCTTCCCTTTCTTCCGCTCCACCAGCATCCATCCAGCATCCACGACGCGCATCGCAAGGATTGATTTCATCCGCATTCACGAATCTTGTTTATTGTGTGGATCATACATCACACCATATTGATATCCTTCTGCAACTCCCCCACCTTGATTCAAACATTCCAAGATGGTCAAGTCGCTCAAGTATCAGAGAAAGTCGGATTTGGTGGATATGGGTACCCTTTTGGGTCTCTCCAACCCTTCCGACCTCAAGAGGGACGATTTGGAAGATGAGGTCAGGAACGCCTTGCTGTCCAGAAGAGCAGAACTGCAGAACGATGAGCACTGGAAACCCATTTACGGTGCCATCGATTCTGGCGAGCGCAGGGCAGCTAGGAGCAGTCTAGGTGCTACCAGTCCGTGAGTTTGCGTTGTTGCATTCACATTCACATTTCATTCGTGATTCGTATTCCTCCATCGCATCGCATCGCATCGCATCGAGGTGGAGTTTGCAGAGCGAGTGGATCCTCGCGGCCGGCCGGGTGCTCGGACGTGTGTGTGTGTGTGCATGGGCTGCGCGGCTGCGATTGGATTTTGATTGCTCTTATTGCTTGCTTGCTTGCTGCTGCATGCACGCACGCGCTCGCGATCTATCCAAGCCAAGCCAAGCCGTGCAGCCAGCAGCAAGCCCCGCGCGCGCGCGAGAGCGCGCGGTTCGGTTCAAGTCATGCATGCATCATCAATTGCGCCTGCCTCTGCTGACGTGCCGCGGCCGATCGTGTGCTGCTGGGCCACACGCACGCACGGGTGCATGGCCATCAAAAAACGCGGGTTGCAACGATTGCTGCCCCGCATTTGGAAGTCGCTCGTCAGATTGACATGGTCATGCGTCGCACTCCATAGCTTGACCCTGCTCACTGCCTTTTATTTGTCGCTGACAATCACCCCCAACCAACATCGCATTTAGCGACTCTGATGCTTCGGACGACTCTCCCGCTCGCGCCAAGTCTCCCCGCAAGCACTCTGGCGGCCGGGCCAACGGGACCGCTACCCCGCGCAAAACCTCCAGCTCGCTTGCCCAAGATGCCAGCTCCACCTTCAACAGTTTGACAGCTCGTACCAAACGCAGCTTCGAGAGTCTCAAGGATGCATTCCGAACCGGAGCTAACGAGGCTCGCGCTGAAGTCACTGAAGCTCGCGAACACGTGGACCACGCCGCACACGGCTTCGCTCACCGCATCAAGCTTCAACAACGCGCCTTGATCCGTGGCGCTGGAAACTTGTGGCACAAGGCCGGCGTCTATGCTTCCGATGCCAACAACCTGACTACGATATTCCTTGCGCTCGAGGCCATTACTCTGATCCTGTCTATCCTCCCTACCACCTACTTCGAGTTTGGCAGCCGCGCGAGCGTGAGCAACCTTGTCAAGAGCGGCGGCAAGACCGCTCACGGCACTGTACCTCACTACGCCATCACGATTCCCAATGCCTGGGCTCTGCTCACCGTCGCATTTTGGAGGCCCATCGTTCTGTGGACTCTTTACACTGTCGCCGTCCCTTACATTCTCGCTCGTGAGTCTCGCTTGCTCGCGTTGAGCCCAATCTGAATCATGCTGACGTTCGACTTGTACGGCTCGGCATTATATGGCAGATCTGATCACCTTTAGCCGTCGTCGCGACTTCTCGGCGCAGACTTTCACCTTGTCTCGTCTATTCCTGATCCTCTTCCTCGTCCGCATCACTCCTGGACTACTGCCCAAGCCCGCTCCTGCCGTGCTTGGCGTCGCGGCGGGCCAGACCGCAGCTGCTGCCAACCCCGCAGCTGGAGGCAAGCTGCTGAGTGCTCAGGGCCTCATTCAACAGTACACCAGCTACGACTGGGTGTCAGCCGCCATCTCCCCCGAGCTTCAAGTCTTGGCTGCTAGCGCTGCCGCTGCATTCGCAAACCTCGAGGCGCTTCACACTCGCCCCCGTGCTAGCTGAGCTCCTGACGAGCAAGTTTTAGCACAAGAATGGCGCAAGAAAACGCTCACGACGTTCGCTGGAAATGTTGGCTTGCCATCTCGAAGACCTTGTGCTTTATCCCACATACCCTTTTCTTTCAAAGCTCGCCCTTTTTGTTCTGCCTGAATTGTGACAGCGAGTCAGCAAGCCACTCGCTATTCGCTTCCAACTCTGCGATGTGCCACCTTCTCCTTTCCTTTTCGCAACTATTATCGCGACGGCGACCATGCGTGTCCCTCTCGGCTTGTTTCAGGTTTACAGTATGACAGTCTATGCTCATCACGTATACGCTCGCGTCGCGTCAGGATTTAAAAATCAGCCCGCATTTTGTTCCCTCTTTCTGGTCATGCTCTCGTCTCTCGTGCAATGCAAATCGAAGTATTTGGTATATTTTTCTCCATTTCGCGCGCCCCCCTCGCCTGCCCTCTCTCTCATCCTTGGATCACGATGCCTCTCGCCCTCTCTGACCTGGCTCAGCGCTGCCAAGGCGAATGGAATGTGCCCAGGCGCCGCATCTGCATGGATTCGGCCCGGCTGCAAGATTTCAGAGAGTCGCCAAGGAGGCATCTTGAGCATCTTCCACGTCTGTATCCCTCTCTTCCGGAGCATCCCAGCTGACCTGACCCAGCACATCTCCCATCCAATGCCACCTCCTTCCCATCGCCTTTTCCAGATTGACATTGGGAAGCAAACAGCTCTTCAGCAGTCTGCTCCTCCTCTCCAGATCCGACATTCTCCTAGCGCTAACGAGGTACTCTTCATTGTTGGGCCCTCTCCCTCCATCGCCATCACCTTGCATTTCCTCCCCCCTCCCCCCCTCCTCCTCCTCCTCTCCCTCACAATCGCCGGCTAGAGCAGTGCTGCGCGAAGCTACGAGGACTCTTCGAGCGCACTCTTGCATCAATCTAGCTATATTCCTCGTATCGTCCATGCCCGAATGCAATCTTCCCTCAAACGGCTGCAGCTTCAACACTGCTAGCAAACCGCTAATGGTCGTGTCGCGTATCGGCGCTTTTTTGCTCTGCTGCATCCCTGCGCTGCTGATGTGCGTTGACCGACGTTTGGAGGCGCTCGTGTCAGTGGAGTCGTGCTTCTGCGTCCTTGTCCTGGCAAGGTGCTCGACGGGCAGGAACTCGTCCAACGAAGTCGCTGCTGTGGTGTTTGGGTTCGTCGAAGCGAAATCGTACAAAGTTGATGAAGCTGCAGTCGTCCCTTCTTCCGTGTTGTGCAGCCCAGGCGCAGCTTGCTCTGAGACTTTTCCGCCCGGAGCGCTGACAGCATCGTGGTCGCCCCATTTCTCAGTAGGCAGAGGCCTCTCGACGTCGTAAAGCGTCTGTATACTTTTCCTCACGTCGATCAGCGGTCCGCGCATGAAGCGCGGAGGTCCATCAAAGCCAGACATGAAGGACTGCTTGACTACAAAATCTCTCAGATCAAAAGGCCCATGCGTGACCCACGTCACGCCTCGCCTGAGCGCTGGGATCGGCCTTTCTGCCACCCCAGCGCTCGATGCGACCGTCGCTGTCGTACCAGTATTGGACGGCGCGTTAGATACGAAGGCGGGTGACGAGGGAGTCGAAGGAACAGAAAGACGATAGCTCGAGCTGCCATTTGTTCTTGATCGTGCCGGCAAAGGCCGCGATCGAGGTCCGGTGGGTGCTTCGAGGAGCGAGTGTCGCGACAAGAAAGCTCGGAGGGCGTCCAGAGCTGCTGGAAAGGTCGGAGCTGCATCTATAGTCGACTGAGCGGGGTTTGAGCGTTTCAGCACCACATGTTTTGCAATCAAAAACAGACGCACAATTCGGCCCCTTCTCACTCACTTGATCTATGCCCGTCAGCTCTCTGCAGAAGCGCGTCAGGCGGGGGCGCCAAGTCGGTCTCACAAAAGTGTGAAAGGTATCCACTACCACCAGACTTGGCTCGTCCTCACTTGAAGGCGTTTGCAACGCATCTATGGCATCCTTGTTTGCTCCCAGTCCTGCCAGCTGCGTCAGCTCGTCTTGCGCCAATGAGGCGGTAGACCGATAGCTTTCGTTCTTGGGCGATGCAGGTGAGCTAGGTCCCGCACTTCGATGCAACGCTGCAGGAGAAGTGGGTGGGTGCACGTTGGATGCGGTCGCTCGCTGTTCCAGCTGATGGACTTGTATTGCCCGGCGCGGCTTCCATTGCAGCAGTATGACAGGCAATTCGATGACTGTGGTGGGGCAAGGGATTGGTGTTACATGTGTCAGTGGACCACAACTGACCAGAACCGACGCTGCGCAGGGCGATCCGTGCCACTTGACGCCCCCCTTTGAAGGGAGAGGGTCTTTGTTGCGAAGCAACTTGGACCTGCCTTTTATCGACGCTACACTCACTCTCGTTTGGCCAGTCGAAGCTAGCGCTTCGCGTTCTCTGTGGTGGCCCTCGCTCGCAAGTCGCCTCCACATCCAAGACGAGAAATGAGTCGTAGTGCTCCAACTCCTGCTCTGCTCCCAGCCTGCTCGCAGAGGGAGACTGAGTCACGCTGGTGGCGGAGGAGGTAGAGGCCTCGCCGAGCGCATTCTGGTAGACGGCGCTGACGGGACGAGACATGTACCCATCGATAGCGGGGGACAAAGGATGATTGGCAGATCGACAAGGTTTCAGCCGACCGCTGTTCCTCTTTGGCCCATCCCTGCTCTGCCTGCTCGGGCTTGTCGGCGTAGCGAAGGATCTGGGCGAGGCCAAGCTCGGCACGGGAGAACGAGGGCTGGCAGATGATTTGGACGTGCGGGGTGTGAGGGGCGCGCTGTGCATCGTGCTCCGTTCGCCCGCACTCGAGCACTGCGAGTCTGTCGAGATGCCCGACAAGCTTCCCATCACCGCCATCTCACCCAAACCTGCCAACGCGGGTGGCGCTTCCTGCCTGATGCGACTGCGTTTCAATCGAGCGCGCAGCTCGGGTCGGTGTCCGCGAGTGGAAAGACCAAGCTGAGAAAGTTGCGCTCGCAAGTCGTCCACCGTCAAGCTCGAGCTCATCTCGCCTCTCGGTTCCCCGATTGCGAGTGCTGAGCGAAAGTGGAGTCGGCCGAGGGATTGGCAGCTAGACGATGTTGGCGTGTGCGTGTGCGTGTGCGTGTGCGTGTGCGTGTGCGTGTGCGTGTGCGTGTGCGTGTGCGTGTGCGTGCGCCGGCCGCCAGCACGTCAGTTGGTGGGTGGAGCGAGGACCGTTTGGGGCAGCAATGGTGCATGACGAAGTTCTGGCCGCCCTACACCACCTGGCTCGTCCAGCATTGGTCGACGTGCCGCCTGGTTGCAGAAAGCTTCGCCTGCGTAAGGGCCGGCTGCGGTGCGCGATGATGATGTGGCAAGTCAGCGCCTGGCCGGCCGGCCGGCGGGCCCGCTGGCTTGAGAGAGATCGAGGCGAGGAACGCTAGGTGTGGTGTGCGGCGTCCACGTAGAAGGCGGAATTGCGTAATGGAATGAAGGCAGGCAGCTCGTGACTCACGACCACATGTGCCAGATCAGCATATCGAACAAGCGACCGACCGAGGTAGGCAGAGGTGAGGTGAGGTGAGGTGAGGTGAGGTGAGGTGAGGTGAGGTG